AAGTTTCAGATTCCCATGTAGAGGATGCTAATAAATACGGCACCACCCGAAGAGTAGGCAGATCGATAATTCAGAATGTTATCACATTTCATAACTCTGTTTCTTCTGAAAATGTCTTCAAAACAACAAAATACCTAGTTGTTGTCCAAACTGAATTTATTATAATCGCATTAGTTGATGAACCATCAAGAATAATCCTTTATGTTCATGCTATTCGAGAGATCTGACCTAACATACCACCCTTGTTCCATTCATCGATATTGTCTTCTCTGACAAAGAGGGTTTCCAGAAAATCCTACGATACTTTGCTTAAAACGCTCATGCATAAACCATTTGGATTACATATCACCAATGCTCATCGGTGTTTTCAGACAGATGCTTGAATAATATATCAGTTAGATTCGACCTTTCGTATTTTTGAGACTTTCAGATAATACCCAAACTCCTACTAGGTTTCGGATGATGATAATATGACGGGTGATTTCCTTATTGTAGTTCGGAAAAGATCAGAATATTCCAGTTTTTTTGGAAGTAATATGTGGTATTCTCGATCAGTGATGAAAGTTCCGGTTTCCACCTGCAGGATAACGTCCTAGGACCTATTCTCTTTGTTTGATTCGTACATGACCTCAACAACAGTGATCGTCAACATTGTACAGTGCAATTTGCCGACGATTCTTCGTCCACTCCAAAATCTTCAGATTATGAGGGATTGTCGAGTCTGACCAATCAAGCAGTTGGTGATATGCAAAAATATTGTTCTCAAAATGGTCTCATTCTAAACAGCTCAAAAACTAATACAATCGTCTTTTCACTACATGAGGATGATCGCAGTGTTCTGGTCGAAATAAATGGCAAGTCAGTACAACAAACCTCATCTGTAAAACTTGTAGGTTTGAACATCGATGCTCAACTCTCCTGGAACAAGCACATTGATTATATTTTGAGTAAAATGTCGAAGCATTGTTTTGTAATTCGTAACCTCTGTAATTTTGTTCCATTGATTATATTGAAGAGCTATTAGTATGCTTATATTCAATCTTTATTCAGTTATTGTCTGATCAATTTTGGTAACTTTGCTTTCCTCCATGGATTAGTTTGTTAGGTTAGGTCCAAAGTAAGTGGGTCTATTCAACCCTCCATCGCAACCCGCAAGGGTTTAGTGTGGCTCACAACTATTCACAGTCGATCAAATAAACCCAGCTTCTGTACGAAGCCGATTAGTTTGTATGGTGAGTGATCTTTCAAGTCAGATGGTAAGAGTACGGCTCTGCCGAACTCTTAAAACCTGATTCGCTTCCCAGCGGGACAGGCACAAAGTATGTGCACTGCTGTTTCATTATTTTCTACAGAGAGGCGACACACACTAACTTCCGACAGTCCAAGTCTCTGCATATGATGATTCAAATGTTAGTGACCTGTAAGAAGGCCTGTTAGACATCGTAGTTCATCCCTACTGTAGTCCAATAACTATTTGGTATCAAGCTTCGAAGGGTTAATAAACACCTTGGAGTGTGCCAATCCTGGAAGATTCTGCCAGGAGTCCATAAATCTACTTGCCATCCAGGTGTTCAGTCTTTGTTTGGCAAAGCCTAAAGCGATGCCAATGATAGGTTCTGATTCGGTGAAGCTGCTTGCAGCACGCTGCTTTGCAAGGGTTTGCATCCAGGCCAAAATGGCCAGGAATCCAGACCAGAGACAATTTGTTAAGTCTTCCTATCAAGGAGAGTCGTTTTTGGCAATTTGCTACCAATTTAGACGTTGCTCGGTAGGAGCCAAGAGCTTTCAACTTCGCTTGACTATCCAAGAATATTTTCATTGACTTTTGTATGAGGTTGGATTCTGAAGGAAATATTTCCTTCAAGTGTTTCACAATTCCTTTCTGTTAATCTTCGGACACTTACTTTGGTCTTCTTTCAAGGCCACTTATGTTGTCGAGGGTCGGTATTCCTTTCTTGAATAGAATCAATGTACTGATTGTAACTTCGTAGTTTTCATCAACAGGCACAGTCGCTCTTATCAAGCATCGAAAGTTGCTGAGGTGTGTACAGTTTTCTGGTTCGTAACGGTGTTTCAAGCTTTTGAGAAGTAGCCTTTTCAATTCCAGCGACATGATTGTGCCGAGACATATTGGTGTTCACTTCAACTTCCAACAAACTTATCGAAGCAGAAAGCGGAATCGTCTGTCCTGACATTATGAATACGGTTCGGGGAAATTTTTGAAGAAAACCGATTCCTGGGTTTTTGTGGCATTGAATTAAGCCTGGTTACTTTCACCCGAATCACTTCTAGATCCTCATTAAGATATGCAACCTCCTGCTGCCGGTGAAGATGTTTCTACGTAGCCGATGTCCTTGATTTGTATAGTAATGCATCAATGTGATACACAAAATGTCTCATACCTCAAAAGTCGAATACTTGATTTCCTTTCGTGAAGTCGTGAATTCTGAGTAATATCTCAGTCACCTGATTTGAAACGTCTTTACAATTACGTCGTCGCCAATAACGTATTTCATTTTAAAAACTCTACTGAAGAAGCGAGGCGCATCAGAAAGACTCACTCCCTACCCGCTGTTGATTCAACGGTTATTTCAGAGCAAAAACATTTTCCTCCCAGTTTCCACCCAACAAACGAAGAGGTTCTGAATTTAAATCAAGATCAGCGGTCGGTCCCGAGCCTTAGCACTCTGCCAGAGTAAATTCAAATAAATCTGAGAGCTTCAATTAGACAAATTGCCCCAGACTGCTATATTTTCAGGTCTTCTGTTAGCAGATATTTCAAAACTAGCAGATACCGTTCTTGGAAATGTAAAAGGGTGGATCATTAACTCTCGTGAGATTCTGATAGTGGCAGAGGATTTATCGTCTGGATTATGTAGCTTTCAGACGATGAACTTGATGTACCTGGGAGGATTTTATGCTCATTTCTGAAGTTATTCGCCCTATTATTTCAGGAATTGTAATGGAGAATCACTGAAGTGGAAACATTATCAAAGAAAATTACTTTTACGAGCGCTTATGATTTCGGATCCTCTCCTCTTAATTTCTGCCTCCTTTTTGGTACGTTTTTATATACGTGGACTGTTTGAAAAATGAGGTGGGTGTTCCAATTTCGCGGGCTACGAATTCTGCCCCAAACATTCAGTGGCCAACGCTGTTGATGGTTCAGGCAACGAAAAAAATTGGGGTTGTTCGTTTCATGGGTTTCAACCCAACGGACGGGAAAAAAAGCCAACCTAAGAAGGTCAACGTAAGAAGGTCAACCCAAGTGGTCCAACCCAAGGCCAACCCAACGAACGAAAAAAAAGCCAACCTATGAAGGCCAACCTAAGAAGGTCAGCCCAAGTGGTCCAACCCAAGGCCAACCCAACGGACGAAAAAAAAAGCCAACCTAAGGAGGTCAACCCAAGGAGGCCAACCCATGATCAACCTAATCGGGCCAACCCATGGTCAATCTAATCGGGCCAACAAAAGGCCAACCCAACCCAACCCAAAATTGGGAAAATTTTGGAAAACGGATTTTCCGGAAAAGCACTTTTTCCGACTAATTCAGCCACCAGGAATCCGTTGCGACTACTCTTATACTACTATACTACTTATATAATTATTATCAACACGCTTTTATTAGCTTCACCAGTATGTATGTATGTTTATTTGTTCGGTTGTAATTCTACTTTTCATTTCATAGTTATTTCCGTTTGAATGCCCGGGATCTATAACTGACAGAATTATCGACGTTATTGCTTGATCTATTCGCGGGCAGATGGCGCTGTTCGTAACCTCCTTGATTCAATTCGAACTCACTTTACATGTTTCCTTCATTTGAAAATGAGGTGCACCTGCTGCCTGGTAGCTGATTTTCAGGTTCCCTCTCCAGAATCGGAAAATATCAATGGTCATTTTTCTGAAAAATATGCAGCTGATTGATCCCAAAGTTTAGATAACATGAATATAGTTCAAAAAGAATAAAAAACACGATTTAATAGCATACGAAACTGAAAAATGAAAAATAAATATATTTTAAAAAACAAAAAACACGCTTCAAAAGAACATCGAACTGAAAACTTGAAAATATTTTTTCAAATAAGCTCAAAACAATAACGATCGGAAAATACCAGTTTCATCGTGAAAAAAGCGTGTGTAATTTGTTCCATATTTTTTGTATATCAAGCGAACACCGTAAATACTAATATCTACTAATATTTTTCGTTTGTTATTGTTTCAAGCTTGATTAAAAAAAATAACTTTTCAGTTCGATGTTCTATAAAAGCGTGTTTTTTAGTTTTTTGAACTATCTTTATTATTGTTAACAGGTCCGGTTTCCATAATTTTTTTCAACTATATACATGTCGATTCACAGTTCCATTTTTATGAAAAGTCGCTTCACCAGAAAATAACACGAATTCGAAAAACTCATTTTCCTGATTGATCTTTTCTAAGCCCCATCGGCAAAGTTGAACCCGTTTTTCAAAATCTCTTCGTCTGTTGCTTCAATTGCAAGTGGTAAAGATGAAATTTTCTTGCTCGTATCATTCGAGACACGCTGGGCTAAAAAAATATGAAATGGAATGACTTATTCATATACTGGGTGTTCCATTTGAAAAAATGGAACTTTGTTTGGCCACTGTCAGCTGAATCACCCAGTATGTAAGAAAATAATTTTGAAAGATAGCATTTATCGATATGACTGCGAGACAAAAATTGAGCACGTCGAAAAATTGTTTTTTCTGATAGCAAATGTTCCGAATCATAGATTGATTGGTTTGGTAAGGTGCTCTGATAATAAATTCGATATCTCATTTAGAATTTTGCTGTTTAGTCCGTATATGTCGTAACAGATGAGTTTTTTCAAGTTTCAGACTATGTTCACGTCCCAATTAGGGCTTTCCATCAGAAACTTGTGAACCAAAACTGAATTTCAGACACATTCATTTTCCGTTTATTGTGAGGTGTCTTTCAGACAATATTCTAAATCGAGGATACCCATTTCGGGAGTCATATTCATTTATAAGCATATATTGGAAACATTTATATTGGTAACTGAATCACATCTCATTAAATTTGCGTACTGTCGTTTCTCATGAATAATTTACAACTAACTCTCTGAGGCAATATCAATCGTATATTCACTGTGTTTTTCCACCACCTGTACCACGGCAAGAAATGGTCCTTCCCGATGAGATAAAGAGTCACCATATAACCCACGACTACAGCCACAAGAAACAAGCACACTCCAGTCTTAATCCACTTCTTCTGCACACCCAGTTTGTTCCCTTCCGAAACGAAGTGCTCCATCCCCACCACACTCGAAGCTATCAATCCAGACGTTACCAGAGTCAATAAAACGCCGATGAGCAAATCGGATCGAACGTGGCCCCGATTCCTCGGATGGCTTATCCAAAGCCTCAGACCTTCACACAGCTTGTATCTCTTGGTTTCTATCGAGCTGTAGCGGTACATGCACAATTCACAATAACTTCTGCTGGATTGATTTAGCCATCTCTCTAAGCAGGATAAATGGACGTATGCCAATGTTCCCTTGCAGTTGCACGGTGATATAAGGCCTTCGTTAACGGTGTTCGTGTGGCATATTCTGCATGCGATCGATGGAATGGACTGGACATTTCTCTGTTGTTTGAATAAGGATGCTTTCGAAACATAACTTTGGATGTCCCGTGTGCTTTCAACGGTTAATTTGTCGGGGCTCTGATCGGTTGTGATTTCATTTGACATTTTATACGTTCGATCATTTTGACATTGACGACTTCGGAGGTTGTGGGAGGTTATAAAAACTGCTATACAGGGTTGGTGAGAAACACAGAGTTTGTTATCGGAAACGAACTGTAGAGCAGAACAACCGGGGAAAATGTTTTCGCAGAAGTCCAAAGGCACGTGGAGGCTGGATAAAAAAATCACTTCAGTTTTCATGACTAATTTCAAAGTTGTTTCTTGTATTTCTCAACGAAAGAGGCGTTGGAAAGTATACGGCTACAACCAAAGATAACAATCAATGAATAAATTACACATAAAATTTTTTCAATGAGTAGTATAGGGACTTTTTAGTCAGAATGTGGAGAAAAAACGTTCAGAGACGATTACCCTACCTAACCTGAGCTGAATTCCATTTAAACCTTATCTAAACCCTAATCATTGTTCTGAATTTAACCTTAATTCAACCTAACCTTATAACTTATCCATACTCGTTTCTTGATTCAGAGCAGGAAAACATTACCTGTGTCCAGTTGGAATGACCAGCTCTCCATTTGCAGAGGAAACCTATACGGTTTCCTTATTCTTTTCTTGATTTAGAGCAAGAAAGCAGTGGTAGTAGAGAAGTAGCTCTTGATTTGCAGAGACAGGGGGCAAGATAACAAACAATGAATACATTACACAAAACATTGTTTCTATGAGTAGTATAGGGTTTTTTTGTCAGAATGTGGAAACGAAAAACGTTGAGAGAAGATGACCTAACCTAACCTGAGCTGAATTTCATTTTAAACCTGATCTAAATCCTAATCATCCGTACAAACATTGTTCAGGATCGGTCACTGACTTAAATGCAACCTAAATTTAAAATAACATTATACCTAATCCGTACTCGTTTCTTGATTTAGAGCAGAAAAGAATCACCTAAGCCCAATTGGAATTACTAGCTCTTCATTCACAGAGGAAACCTATACGGTTTCCTTACTCTTTTCTTGATTTAGAGCAAAAAAGAATAAGTAGTAGAGTAGTAGCTCTTGATTTGCGGAGGTAAAGGGCAAGATAACAAACAATGAATAAAATACACAAAAAATTGTTTCAATGAGTAGTATAGGGTTTTTTGTCAGAATGTGGAAACGCAAAACGTTGAGAGAAGATAACCTTACCTAACCTGAGCTGAATTTCATTTTAAACCTGATCTAAACCCTAATCATCCCTACAAACATTGTTCAGAATCGGTCACTGACCTAAATGCAACCTGAACTAAACCTAACCTTATACCTAATCCGTACTCGTTTCTTGATTTAGAGCAGAAAAGAATCACCTAAGCCCACTTGGAATTACTGGCTCTTCATTCACAGAGGAAACCTATACGGTTTACTATTTTCTTGATCTAGAGCAAAAATACTATTTGTGTCCATTTGGAATGACTAGCTCTTGATTTGTAGAGGCAAGGGGCAAGTCGGTTGGGGATCTTTCATGAAAATTCAATTGAAACCTCTCATTCAAAATTCATTCACAGAAATTTCCAATTTTCAACACTGTCATTGTAGACCAACTCAGTAACACCAGAATAGAATACACCCCAAGCATACTAATACAACAAGGAATACAGTTTACTTGGGAGTATTACATCTCTAATGTATACAAAAGAATAAAGACAATACTCAATATTGAATTTCAATTATCAATGTTTCTAGAAATCTAAGTGTCCACGTTCTGAAATGTTCTACATTTTTGAATGATTACTTCAATAGGGAAAGTAATAAAATACAGGGTGTCACCGTAGAGTTCAATTTATTCCTTTTGTTATGCATTCACTTGTTTCTATGCTTTTGATGGTTCTTGAACTTTCATTGTTTCTAGCGCTCATACTGTTGTATTATGCTATTTCCTGGCAGAACTATGATACAAAAAAGTGTTGTGAAAAGAACATGTTGACTCTACGATTAGTTGAAATTTGGAATACGATTCTATACAACCAACTTTCAATTACTATCTATGTATATCTTAAACGTTGGAATTTATTTTATGATTGATTCTTGAAATTCCTCAACAAATCACCACTACGACCTCTTCCTATGGAGTCAAGCACAAAAAGACCCTTTCAAAATCTCGTCATCCACATATAGAATCGATTTCAGTTCAGGACCCAGACAATGTTACCAACTGTTTAATCCATCCATCGCGACTGCGACTGAAAACACTTGCCATCGATACTAAGTAGATACTGGAAGTAGATATCTCTGCCTGTACCTCATTGCTCATTCTACGTCGATCACTACGAAAAACAACTTCTTTATAGTATTTCCAATACCAATTGGAACAGCACAGAGAAGGAATTCCCGCCTCGACATAGGCGTCGGCATATTATTTTTCAATGGTAGTTTTTCAGTTACTTATTCTTACAATCATAGCAATTGATCACCCCATGAAAAAGTTATCTCAACTGAATTTTTCCACCATGGGTAATTTCCGAGTCGAAAACTCTAAAATACAATGAAAACACAAATAATCACACTGAATTCTCGTCAAACATATTTTTACAAAATAATAGAGGCCAACAAAGTTGCGAGAAAATAAAAATTCTTCTTCGCTATATTCGGATGAGGTGGAATCCTCATCGAGTTGAATAACGATCGTATTTATGGAACTTTGCACATAATATTTGTTCTCTTCTTTTATAACGTGGGCCACACAGTTCTTCCACACATCACTATTACCTACTTCATTCACCACTCGCCTTATATTGTCAAGCACTACAGCATGCAAAGTCGGTGACTGATTACATTTCCGCAAGCTTTCTTTCATTGTGGCCCAAATCATTTCAATTGGATTGAACACACAATAGTATGGAGGCAAACGTAAGAGAATATGACCACGTGTTCCACACATCGAATCAATGATATACTCTTTTTTGAAATTACATTGTTTTATGGTCGCCAGTAATACCTTTTTCGTTGGAATCTTTTCGGGCATTTTCATGTCATGATTTCGCATGAAATCAACAATATCTTTAATATAAGAACATAGGCTTTAACGGTCGAAGTCATAATTGAAGAAAACAGAATCCAAGCTGATAGGCTATGGACGAATTGATCCTGAAGCTTCTAACGTTTCGTCTACTACTGCGGCAGACCTCATCAATGGTATGTGTGTTGACTTCAAAATATTCTTGTTCTTGTTCGTTCAATCACATGACTGGAGTAGAAAATTTTTTCCAAATGTGATGATGCTGAATCAATAGATATTCTTGTATGTTCAATTTTTTCAGTGAGAGATATCCTATACTTGTTGAGATGGTAATAAATATATGTAATACAACGCAGTTCATTTCTCAGTATTTTTGTTGGCAATTTCATGGCGTTATTCACCCATTGTTTAGAATTTATATGAACTCACAATGGGTAAATTTCAAATCCCGAGGATATTGTCCTTATTTTCCAACAAACAATTCAGAATTGTGTACCGAACAAACCCGAGAAACGAGTGGAAAGCTTTTCGTGAATGACAGCGGTCTAACAATTAATTCTACTTCAAATGACAAGTTCTCTTCGGTAATGTGTTCCGGAGCTTTTAGTCCCCTGCAATTCAAATAATATATAGTTACATATAAATCAGACGAGTGTCAGTTTGAAATATCTGTAATAATACTCATAGACTACTACACCAAAATTTATTTGAATATTCCCTCATTTGAAAACTTTTCGAGAAGTCGAAATTGCAGCATTTGTCTCAGGGGAAGCGTGTTTTGTGATACCTCGTTTGGGGCACCTCAATTATCTTTCCAACATCGTTTTATTTTTGGATATCGGTTCAGCCTTTCCTGATTAGTAGATTTCCATTCCAGGTGTGCTGTTACGAACACGTAACAGCACACCTAGATAATGACAAATGAGATTTTGTCGAAACGTTGGTGAAATTGAAGATAATATCACATACACGGATCAAATACCCGAAAAACCAGTTCAGCATAGTCCTATCCGTGAGAACTTCAGATTTAACATATATACAGTGTGACCCATTTTTAATGGAAACACCCCCCT